CTCTGGGCTGGGTGCCCTGGTTCATATTAAGATGAACACAGCACACCAGCCCCTCTGTCACTGCTGCGGAGACATGCGTTAGGGTTGTGTGTGAGACACCTCAGTGCCTTCCTCATTGTCCTTATCTGCTGAATCTCTCCCTCTTGTGCTTCAGGGCCTCTCGTCGCTCCTCCAGTCTCCAGTGCAGACCTCACCTTTTGCGTTTAAACCTTGGGGAATGCTTGCTGTCCTTTGTCAGATTTACACAAGGAGGACTGGGGATTTTTAATGTTAATTTAAGTGTGGGTAGGTAGTGTCATTGTGGACAAAGCCCTTTAATCCTTGGCCTGTTTGTGGAAGTAAATGCTGCAGAAATCACAGCCAAATAATTCGGCGGCAGGTTTTGGCCTGGCTGCTCGCAGTGTCGGGGGAGCAGAGCGAGGCTCCTGCGGCAGAGCTGGGGGTGGAGGGGTCTCACAGCAGGAACACAGCTGGGGAAAAACAGCTGGAATAGAGCATGGGAAACAGGGACTGAGAAAGGGGACAGAAGCAAAAGGAAGAAACAACAGTAGAAATCATTCATGAGAGAGGAACGGGAGCTGGTGTGGATTAAAAGCAGAACGTTGTTAAACATGCTGACACCAGAGCAGAGGAGCAATAAGATAAACAGGGGGAACGGCTCACCACAGCAGTACAGAAAAATCCCCTGCTGTGAGCAGCACCGAGCCCGGGAGCTATGCAGGAGCAGGGGCAGCGAGTCCAGGGAAGAGGGGACAAGGGACAGAGCGGTGCCATCGCAGCTGGTCCAGGGTGGTCCAGGGTGGGTGCAGGGCTCCCTGGGCTGGCGCTGTGGTGGGGCACCAACACCCAACACCCCTGTGCCAGCCCAGGCCTGTGCTGGGACAACGCGTCATGTTGCCTTTAAACCATGCTTGGCTGTGGACCCCCGAACAGGCAACAGAAGTAATTTAAAGAGATGGTGAAACATTTTTATTATTCCCGTGAAATTATATGGAATTATAGTTCTGAGTGGAGTGACAGGTTTAAAATGTGTATTTTAGAGCAAAATTAATGCTGTGCTTTCCTGAGCTGGGAAGGTTGGCCGGTCAGGGGGTCATCTTGGCTGCGCGGGGGGTTCAGGACAGCGGGGTGACGTCTGTCTGTGCGGGAGCGGCGGCTGGTCCTGCTGGGAGCGGACACGTGCCCGCAGAGCCCCAGGACCCGCTCTATCCAGAGCACGAATACCTGCTCTTCAACAGATTTAAAGAGGTTAATTGGGCTGGGATGTACATGGTTGTGCTACATCTCTAATGGAAATGTTGATTCAAGAAGCCACGGCTCTAGTGATTTTTGCACTACTGTAATTATTTTTAAACTTTCTTTTCGGCGCTGTTGATAACAGCCTGGCACTGTGCCTGCCTGACCTGATTAAACTTACAAATTGTCAGCCTTGATCTATAGGACACAGAAGAGATTGCTGACTGAGCATTGCTTTGGAAATTCTGGATTTAAAACAAAAATTAGATTTAAAATGTTGTTCCCAACAATACAACACAAGAACGCTGGCGATTTTGAACACATATTCATTACCCTGGCATCGTGAGAGCAATCAAATTCCCGCATGGCCTGGGCAGGTTGGCTTCCTTCTCTCCTCTCCCCAGCCTGTGAGCAGACGTGCAGCCCGAGGGCAGCCCGAGCGGGGCCACCAGAGCCCCCGCACCCAACTCCCACCACGGCCCTTCCCAGGGCGATGCTCCCCCTTCTCTCTCCTCCGTTTCCCTCCTCCCCTGTGAAATTTCAGCTCCTGTAGTTCCTGTAGTAGGAATTCTCCTGTATTTGAGGGGCAAGTGGCAGCTCTTTCCCCAGGCATTTTAAACCAATGCTTGGACCTCCTAGGCGGGGTGGAATCCAGTGGTACAAGTCTCTGTTAAGAGTAACATGGTGCTTAGATCCATTTGGAAGGAAATGAGAAACAAATCAATTATTTCCAAATAAATAATGCACTTACTTTTACCACATGGTCTTGCATCAAAGTGATATAATGTACAGGCTAATGCCAGCCTTGTGTAGATTTAGCTCTATCTTGGAAAACAACTGGAAGGCGTATGTCTCTGTACTCACACAAATACTCCTTTAATACTTACGATGAGGTGTTAGAGATTCTGTAGGGTCCTTTAAAATCCTCTTGAAGATGTTCCTGCTCTGTCTGGGAAGCCAGAGGGTCCTATGGCACTGCCGTCACCCCACAGTACCTGTATGGGCTGCGGCTCATGGGGCTTGTCCCGGAGGAGGGTGTCTGTTTGGGGACTGCGGCAGGGATGGAGGAAAGGCCGTGGGCAGGTCCGGTCCCTGTGGGCAGGTCTGGTCCTGCGTCCCCGTGGGCAGGTCCGGTCCCCGTGTCCCTGCGGGCAGGAGGGCTGTGCAGGAGGGCTCCTCGCAGGCGAGCAGCGAGCGGGCAGCGGCCGGGCAGATGCAAGAAATACTGACTGTGTTTTCTCTTGTTCTCTCTTTTCTGCCCAAGGTTTGAGCATCCGAGGAGCCCAGGAGGAAGACCCTCCCGATCCCCAGCTAATGAGACTAGACAATATGCTTCTGGCAGAAGGAGTCTCAGGTCCGGAGAAAGGTGGGGGATCGGCGGCAGCAGCTGCAGCGGCAGCAGCCTCTGGAGGGTCTTCAGATAACTCTATTGAACACTCAGATTACAGAGCCAAATTGACCCAGATCAGACAAATCTATCACACAGAGCTGGAGAAATATGAACAGGTCAGACATCAGCCTCTCAGTTGTACGTGTACCTGCCGCTGCTTCCTCCGCACCTCCGCTTGCCAGCGCCTGCCGCTGCCCAGGCTCCGGACACGTCCCTTCCTCCCCCTCCCCACCCCTCTCTCCCCGTAAGAGCCGTGATGCCATGGGAGTCCATCGGGCTTCCAGGAGCCGCTCGCTGGACCCGGGACGCATGTCTTGCATGCCTGAGTGTTTTCTGTTGTCTGTAACTGCATAAAAGCAACACCCGAGCCCGTGTTCCTGCCCTTTGCGCCAGCCCAGAGAGGAGGAGAGTTGTCTGTCTCGGTGCCGCTCTGGTGTCCCGTGCTGAGGTGTCCCAGGCTGGGTCGGGTGAGTCAGGGGGTGCAGGCAGGCGAGGGCCGTGCTGGTGATCCCAGCCTGCAGGCAAGGCTCGGCCGCGGCGTGTTGGCTGTAGGCGGTTGGAAGGGAGGTGAGGTGCTGGCACAGCACCGGCACAGGCGTGGGGAGCTGCTGCTTTGGGTAGGACATATGGAAACCTTGGTGCAGGTGGACACGGGCACTCGGTGTCTCTGTTTGAACTGAGGAGGCTGCCACAGAGACCCAGGGGTTTATGTTCACTGCTGGTACCTGGTGACCTGCCACGTTTCCCACACTGGTAGCACTGGAAGCAGTGGCCACGTGGTGCCGGCTGGTGCCGGGCACAGGGTGGGTCCTGCCCACGGGGTGGGGGCTGCACCGCCCCAGTTTCCCTCTGATTCCCAGGAGAGACTGCTCTGCCTCCTCTCTTTTCTGGTTTTGCAATGAACAATGGCATCAAAGGAGACGGGAGGGAGGAATGGCACGAGACCCCTGGCCCTCACACGCCTCAAGCGATGTCTTCATTTTCCCCTCCCAGAGGTGCCCTAATAAAGCTTGTAAACCCTGAGCCTAATCAGCTCAGCGAACCTCATCAGCTGGTGGTTTCCCAAGCTGAGCCAGGGAAGTTCTGCACTTGCCCCCAGCCCATCACGGCAAAGTGCAGATCGAAACCACAAAAGAGACGTGGAGATGGTGATAAAACCACTGGAAGCCACGAGGGCGAGGAGGAGAGCACGCGGTGCTGCCCGGCTCCTTCCCCAGCCCTGCGTGCTGCCGTGCCAGGCGTCCCCTCCCTCCTCCCCAGCGCAGAGTGGGGCCTGGGGGTCTTGATAATCTTTATTTCAGTTTCCTGTTTTTTCATGTGGAGACCCTCTGAAAGGTCTCCTGCTACTTTGCTTTGCTTTTTTCTGCCACCACAAGCAAAGACGTGGTGTGTGACAGGCTGACTGGTGCTGGATGAGCGTCAGCAGTGGGGAGAAGTGATGGGTGTGAGGACGGGGTGTGGGGTGGGCAGGAGCTGTAGGGGGACGGCACCTGCGTCCCAGTGCAGAGACCGGTGTGGTTCAGGTGCCGGTGGTGCTGCCTGGTCTGTGCCGCCCCTCTCACTGTCTTCTTCAATTGGTGAACAAATAATGGCACAAAGAGCTGGCAGCAGCTTTGTGCAAGTCTCTTCTCCCTCAAATGAACCCCCCTGCACCCTCCAAGGACCCCAAATGTCCTGTGTGGACCCTGGAGCTGTGCTGGCAGTGCAGGGCGCAGCGTGCAGCCCGCAGCCGGGGTGGGGATGGCCGTGGGATTAACGAGCGGTCTCCAGCAGGAGCGTGTCTGATGGAGCCACGGGGACACAGGCTGAGGCAGATCTGAAGCCAAAGCGACTGCAGGTCGGTGCTTGCAGCCATTTCCTGGCAAGTGTCCTTTGACTCTAATAAGTTTAATGATGTGGGGGAAGCAGCAGCATTTTCAGCCCTGTAGCTCCATTTACAAAGGTTTCGGCTGAAATGTCACAGCCATCCGTCCGCACCGCGGGAAACTTTGGAGGATGCTCAAGTGCTGCTGGGGAAGGAGCGCGAGGTGGGGCTGAGCTGAACCATGGACAATCCCTGTTGCTCCTGACACCCAGCAACGTCTGCTCTGCAGAAATATGATAATTCCCCCAGCCTTGCAGCAAACTGTCTCCTGCCGGTTCGTCTCTACGCGGTGCCCGTCTCCGCGGCCGAGGGGCAGCCGGGACTTGGCATCTCTGCCTGCGGCGGCTGCGGGTTCTGGGGACTGGGGTCCCCGCTGCGGCCGGGGAGCGGCTCGGCCCCGCGCAGGCACCTGCCCAGGCGGGGGGAGCTGCTCCTGCCAGCGCTCTCTGCCGCAGCCAGCAGCGGGAACCAGAGCATCTTCCCCCAGATGCTTTCCAGGCAGAGTTTGATCCTGACATTTGTTGCCAGTTAGGGGAATGCGCTCACGAAAAAAAAAAAAAAGAGAAAAAAAGAGAGAGAAATGGAAAGTGTGTCACGCCATCACACAGCTCTCCCGCGCCCTGCGCCGGGAGAAATGGCCGTACACAGGCAGCGCCTTCCATAATTTACAGCTACTATAATAGAGATGACATATTGAAAGCTATCTTCTATAATTACACTGAAATACATTTTTTGCTGTAGGCAAAAGTACCGTAAGGGTCCCAGGCCTCCCGGAGCAGCTGGGAACCTGCTCCCTGAGTTCACAGATGTCTTTTGAATTCACCCCAAATGGAGGTGAAGTGTGGCTGCTCAGAAGACACCACCAACCCCACGGAGTGCTGGCTGGTGCTGCGTCCCTGAAGACTGTTTTGGGCCATTTCCTCTCTTTTCTTGCACCCATCTAAGGAGTCTTGATGAAGCATTAAGGCCAGCAGGAGCATCCCCGCTCCTACAAGGTTTCTGAGCAGGTTAACAAGGCCATCACTTATAACCTGACATTATTAATAATGTCTAGGGCACCAAGCAGAGGCCTGAAAAATAGTACTGAAAAAGGGATCAAGTAGCTCGGACGCTATACATAAACAAGAGAAAACAAGACAAAGCATCAGAGTCTTCTGAGCTTCCTTCCACTCTGCTGCACTGAAGCAGCTCTGCAGATGGGAGGTGCTGGTGAAGATGAATTAAACCCAAGGCCTCTAAGTAGCTGGAACCAAAGGAAATCTCATCGAACAATTCAAGTAAATTCAGGGAAAGATTTTTGCTTCTTGAAAGCAAGAAATTCACTTCAGCTTTGAAACATGAAATTTTTGATACTATATTTGTGGAGAAATATTTCTCATTGAAAAGACATATCTGAAAATATTTTTAATACAACAGTTGCCATTTTTACTGCACTTCAGAATTGAAGCCCGCTCCTGCACCGGGGGGGCGAGCTGCTGCACGGGGGCTGCCCTCACACAGGCCAGGGCTTTAGGGTGGGAGAAGGAGAAATGGGTCACTTGGGACAACTCCTGTCTCCCGGGGTGAGAGGAGGGTGTTTGGGGTGCTCAGGGCAGCGTCCCCATCTCCGGCGCAGCAAGAAGGGACAGCGGGTGGTCACCTCCGTGGGCTCGGCTGCCTGAAATGTCAAAACAGAAAGAAAGGAAATAGACAAATGGGAAGGGAGGATGAGAAGTGCCGAACTCCTTACCCTGGAGCTCAGGAAGTCTTGAGAAGGGCAGGGAGCAGCAGGAGGAGCTGCCGCCGCGGTGAGCTGGCACAGCCTCCCTGGCACCCTCCCCTCGGAGCACCGGCGGTGGCCGGCGAGGGGCACCTGTGCCGGGCCTCACGGAGCTGCCTCCAAACGGGTGCTGCGAGGATGTAAATTAGCCTGTAATTTACTTTCGGTAGTGTAAAGAAAAAAAAATCACTTTGCCTGAAGTGTATGCATCTTTCTTAAGGGTGTACCCAGATTTTAATTATCTAAATGTAAATACTTAACGAATTTTACTTAGAGTAATGAGCTAAAGTGCACACTACATAAATGAGATGTTCTAATTAATCATGTATGAACTACTGGTTTAAAGAAAAGCTATGTGAATTCTGCGAATGTTGGGCTATTGCCAAATTGCTAATCAGCATTTGCATTCATAGATGGCTTCACTTAATAAGTTGTGAGACGTTCAGCAAATGTTAGAGGAAATTATGAGTTTTTAGATGCATAAACTTTTCACTTTTAACTCTTTCCCTCACACTATCTGTTGAAATGCAGGAGAATCCCTGAAAACGTAGTTGTCAGAGAAATTATGTAGATATTTTTCACCCTAGCTTTAGAGGAAAAGTAGAGCTGGAGGCGAACAGCTGCGTGACGTGTGTGCTGTGGACGGGATACTTGCAGAGTTTCCTCTCTGTGATTTCCCGGCTGCTGAGCATCCTGCTCATCACCCGTTCTGTTAGACGTGCCAGAGTGAGATCCTTTGGCCTCATTTGGCCGTGATGGCAGCCCAGCAGCACCTTGTGATGGCCAGTCCTTGTGCAGCCGAAGTCCAGAGCTCCCTCAGGCACATCAGCCTGGCATCCCTCACCTTCATACCTTCACCTGGTACAGGCTTGGGAGCAGTGTCCCTCAGACCCCGTAAAGGCCAGTGCGGTGCCCGACCCCTCTCCTCCGCCCAGGACTCCGTCAGGACGGGGGTAGGTTAGTGCCCCACATGTGCTCAAGTACCAGGCTGGCCCCCGGGAAGGGATTAGCCCTGTGGCCACCACACAGCTCTGCCCACCAAACAGCGGTCTGGGGTTTGTTTTTGAAGGAGATAAGGGAGACATCAATCAGCAGAGTTGGTGGCAGCTCCCAGCCGGCGTGGGGAAGGGTGATGGCAGCGTGACAGCCGGGTCATGCAGAGGCTCGGATCAGGCAGCATCTGTTGATGATGCAGCCTGGAGAAGTTTATATCATTGTGTCCGTTTGCACAGTCTGGGACTGATAATTGATGGCTCCTCCTGCCTTCCTTCCTCCAACCCCTTGGCAGCACGGCATGGGCCAGGCTCGGGCATGGCTTTGCTGAAACCCACCCTCTAAGGGGCTGCAGAAATGTCTGGAGCTCCTGCCCTGCTGCGGGGTGTTAGCCCTGCCTACCCGGGGCTCGGCGGGTCGCAGGACAGACAGCCATTCCCAGGCTGGGCTCTCTTGGCTGTGGGGCATGTGCTGGTCCCGACTCGCATCCTTCTGCCCGCAGCCACCACACGTGCCCATCCTGACCTCTCCTCCCACCACGGCTCGGCCGGGGCTGGAGGGGATAAGCGTGGAGGGAGCAGCCTGACCCAAGCTTCTGTCCCTGTGGGATGGCACAAAACAATTTCTAAACCTCTCCTTCCTTTGCAGGCATGTAATGAATTTACCACACACGTGATGAACCTTCTCAGAGAACAGAGCCGGACACGTCCCATTTCTCCCAAGGAGATTGAAAGGATGGTGGGCATCATTCATCGAAAATTCAGCTCCATCCAGATGCAACTCAAACAAAGTACTTGTGAAGCAGTAATGATTCTAAGATCAAGGTTCCTCGATGCCAGGTAAGGCAGAGACGAGTGCCCCCGGGCCTTTCTGGGGGCAAAGGGGCAATTGCTGGGCAGCCCAGAGAGAGCCTGCCTCTGCTGGGAGCTACGTCCCCGTTCAGGGAGAGGCTGCTCTGCCGCCAGCACAGCCCAGGACCCTCGTCCTTCCCCCGGCAGGCTGCTCTGAAGGGGGTTTCCTTCAGAGAGCTTTCAGAGACACCACTGTCTTTTCTCCATGTTGTAGTGCAGAGACCAGGCTTGTGCCTGGAGGTTGCTTGTTCCCCTGGCTCGTGTGGGAGTCACGTAGGATTTGTGCAGAGGGCTGTTTGGTCACCCCAGCAGTTATTTAAATGTCTGGCAGCATAAGGCCAGCCGTGCCAAGCACTGACCCCATAATGAAGAGCTAAGTTCTCTGGGAGGAAGATGCCCACAGGCACCGGGTGCGCAGCTGCGTGTGTCCGAGGAAAGAAGGGCGATGAGGCTTCCCAAAGCCCAATCTGCTGGCCCAACTCCCAACAAGCTGTCGCCTGACCGGGGTGTGGGAGAAGGCAGCACCTTCCCACCCGCTCACAGCCATCTCACGCGTCCCTGCGATACCCCTGTCGCTGCCGGAGCTCAGCGCCCATTCCCACAGCCCAACCGCCTCAGACAGGCTGCGAGGAGCGGGCAGATGGGGATTGGAGGAGGTCTGTAGGCACAGCCAGGTTCGTTTGGAAGCCCCAGTGAGGTGGGGTACCCAGCCCCAACCCCAGCTCCTTCACAGGGCTCCCCTCCCCAGAGCAGGAGCCTGGCAGCCGGCAGAGCAGGGAGCAGCAGCAGGCACCACACAGAGCCTCCCCTCGGCAGCCAGCTCCTGCTTCACACCTGAAAGCTGTGAGGAGCTAAACAAGAGCAAAATAATTTTATTAACAAGGAGGTCACTGGCAGGTGTGGCAAATTAGGGTAATTACAAACAGTTGGAGGAAATGTCTATGGAGAGCTCCAGTAACTGCAAAAGGTAAAGCTTGCAGATGTACATTTTAAAGTGATTTCTTTAAAAAGGAGGAAGGTAAATAAGGCAAAATGAGCGGAAGCACAGTAATGAGATAAACATAGCTCTAGGGAGAGAGTCTGCTGCTCCAGGATACAGTGTAGTTAGCAGCATCGTGATACTGCTGGAAGAGAGCGCTGGGGATTGCCGCTCGGCTGCCTGCTGGCCTCGGGCACAGGCAGTTTGATTGCAACCAGGCCTGAGGGGAAGGGAACTCTGAAGGAACTGCTTAACTGGTGCCTTCCAGAGGGTGTTCTGGGGAGAAGGAGTGTGGCTGGCGTTGGCTCGGGGGGCAGGCACTGCAGCTGTGCAGATGCTGCTGCTGTAACCGCTGTGGGGAGCGCCTGGCATCGGGCTGGCTGGGGCTGTGCCAAGCGCTGGGCTCCAGAGGGGCTTCACTCTGTGGCAGGGCTGGGGGTCTGCACCCCTCGGTACCCGTCCCATGTGACACGAGAGCCTGGGCCCCGCTCGGCCCATGGCAGGAGGGTGTGCAGATGGGTCTCCCTCACAAAGCCCCGAGAGCCACTTGCTCGTGTAAGCCAATTAGCCCAGTGAGTGCTCCGTAAGGACATGGCAGCGAGGCCACCGTCCTCCTGGCTGTGCTCACCCTGGGCACCTGTGCAGAAGCCCTGCTGACGTGCAGCTCCAGGGAAGGGTTTGTTGGCTGCTGTCAGCACGGAGCGGGTCCGAGCCGGGGGCAGAGCCTGGGCTGGCACAGCGGGGTGTGGGGATGCCGTGGGCAGGCTGCCAGCCCAGCACCCTGACTCATGTCTTGCTTCATCGTGTGTTCTGCCATGGCACACAACGTGGTCCGTGTACCCATGGCATGAAAGCCCATGGAGAGGCAGGTCCCTGCATGGCCAGACGCGGGTGTTGCAGCTGCTGCCCCCTGCAAAACACCCAGAGCCCCGGTGCAGGGCTGCCCCAAAGGGATGGGGGTACTGAGATGCTGCTGCTGTGTCGCTGTGTAATGCGGCAGGGACATGTGAAACAAGGGTCACCTCCACCCCAGCTGACCCTGCTGGAGTCCTGTTTGCATCGGGAAGAACAGCCGTGGTTTTCTTTTCTCATTTCAGACGGAAAAGGCGTAACTTCAGTAAACAAGCCACAGAAATCTTGAACGAGTATTTTTACTCCCACCTCAGTAACCCCTACCCCAGTGAAGAAGCCAAAGAAGAGCTGGCAAAGAAATGCAGCATCACAGTATCACAGGTGAGCAGCAGGTGGGAGCATGTCCTGTCCCCGTCCCTCCGTTCCCTGGGCAGTGTGTCCCTGTCCCCCCAGCCCCCTTGCAAAACTGCGGCTACTGCAGGCGCTGGGATGTGCTCCCAGTGGAGGGATATGATACGGAGAAGGTCCCTGCCCAACACACCTTTGTAATTTGCCTTATTGTCCCTGATGAAGTTCAGCAGGGTGAGGGAACGTGACCAAGCTCCGCAGGAAAGGCAGCGTGTCGGTGGGTGGCCGGGCTGTGCTGGGGTAGAACAAGTATGTGTAAAAAGATGAGGGTAGAAATAAAAAGGCTCTAAGGTTAGCACCCTACTTCAGGTCAGCTCTCTCTGTGCAGTCAGTGAGATTCCTTCCTGAGCCTTACTCTCTGTTATAAATTCATTACAACTTACCGTCATTTTGGGGGAAGGCCAGTTTATTGACAAACATATAATCTATCTCTATAGATCAGAATTTCTTTGATTGCTTGAAGCTGTTTTTCTAAGCCAGCCAGAAATTCAGCCTCTTGATGCACTGAAGTGACACAAGTGGTTTCTCTGTAGCAAAAATGTATTAGGCAGATTTGCTCCTTTTATCACGTATAACAGATGTTACTGCGAAGTTAATGCAGGAAACCAGCCTCTCCCCAATCGGGAACGTGCGCTGTTGTTGGCTACAGCTGCTGGCTGTGTCGACCACAGTGTATTTACAGCTCTGGGCTGGTGTCTTGCAGCGATGTTCGGGCTGACGACACCACTCCACTGAGCTTTCCTTCGCCAGACAGCTTAAAAAGCAAAATAGCACTTTGCACTTCTTGTGGCCTGTACGTTTGATAGAAAACCAGATGATTCCCACAGCAAATATGGCTCATACAGCTTGGGAAAGGTGGCATTTGGGTGGCAGGGGAAGCTCACGTGCAGCTCCCAGGTTCTCCAGCCACCCGCTGCCCACTGCGTGTGCCATCTCCTCCCGGCTCCATCACCTCCCCTTATCAATATTTCAGGTCCTTTAGAGGAACAATGCCTGCGGCGAATGTGTTAACTATTAATGACTGCAGGCTGCAGTATTGGCATTATTAGCAATGCAACCTTTAGCTTTATAATTAAGACCTGAGTTGAGATTTACTTTATAGGTCTCCCTTGTATGCATGAAAAATTCAGGCATTTTATTGATGACTTTCAAATGAAAGGCCACCCAGCTTCCCCAAATTTGATATTACTTAATTGACTTTGGAGGCACCCTCAGTACAAACCCCAGCAGGACTGCCCTGTGGCCCGAGAGGCCAGCAGAGACGTGGGAGTGCCTTGCTCTCTCCTTGCCCATTTCTTGGCACAGACCGTGCTCCGAGCGGGGCGAGAGGTGCCTGGGCCAGGGGAAGGAAGGGGCTGGAGATGGGGACAGTTTCTCCCCGTTCACGTACGAGTGGCTGTGGTGATGAGCAGGAATTTTTTGGGGGAAATTCAGCACTGAACTTGTTCCCTCTCCCATTGTGCAAGCAACTGCAGCCCTGGCATTTTGATGGCCAAAAATCTTCCCACATGAGCTGAGGCAGCCTGGAGAGGCAGTGCCATCAACACCAACTCAGAGAAACCCAGAGTTCTTCAGCTCTGCTGGCACAATGTAGCTGGGAGAGATGACACGGCAGAGAGCACAAGGGACCTGCTGAAGAGGGTGGTGAGTTGTGCCTGGCAGAGAAGGAGTTAGTGATCCCGCAGAGTGGACAGATAAAAAGCCTGATCTAGATAAGGCTGAAGTGACTGAAGGAAATGAGATGGAACATTTGAGAAGCCATAACTGATTGCTACTAGTGCTAATAGATCTGATTTCTTTCTTAATTGGTTGTTTGATAAGATTTAATGTATATGTTGTAGAATGAAATAAAAGGCAGGCAGATGGTCCAAAAACGAGGCAGCAGCACTGAGCCTGTGACATGAATATAGGTTTGTCTCTTTAATATTTGATACAAGCATGAATTAGTTGTTTCTTGAATCCATTAGGAGGTCTGGGTGAGCGATGGGAGTAGCTGTGCCGTGTCCTCTGTAGCACGGCGTGCGGTGTCCTGCGCTTCGCAGGGGGACACTTTCCAGCACTGACCCCCCTGCCCGGGCACTGCCAGAGCTGTGGGCCCGGGGCCGTGGCTGGAGCTTCGCTCTGGCAAGGTGTTATAAATGGCTCGGAAATCCTCCGGGTGATGGGAGAGCCTGAAAACGGGGCAATGTATCATCTAACGGGAGAGGAGCGTGTACGTGAGAGAGGGAGTGCCTGTGATCAGCTGGTTGCTTAAGTTCCTGATAGATCTGCTGTCACAGACAGAAAATGTGAATACTGTGGATACCCTAATCTTTGATTTTCAAAGGCACTTCCAAAGGCCACATGGTGGGACTGTGGGGTTAGTTGGTATTTAGTAGGTCAAACTGGGCTGGAGTTGTCTTTTCTTTGTACTGAAAAATGTATATATTTTTGAGGCCATTTAGCAGAAAAGCTCTGAGCAAGCACTGTAAAACAGCCCGGTGCACGCTGTGTGGTGGCTGGCAGCAGAAGTCAGGAGATGCAATCCAGAAATCAGGGTGAATTGAGCAGTCATTTACAACACTGGCAGGAGCAGCATCGCCTGGGATAAGCAATGGCATCCAAGCGAGTGACTGAGCTACACCTTGCACAGGCTTTCATGAAAAATCTCCCAGCGCGTGTATTTCCAGCCTCGGCCAGGAGCCCCTCGGACACCGCCGTGCCTGGCACCGTGCCCTGCTCACCTCCCTGCACAAACCCCAGGGGTGCAAAGAGCTGGGAAATGGAGAGGAAAAAAAAAAAGAAAAAAAAAAAAAAAAAAAAAAAAGTTATATGGGGGGGGTTTCAAACCCAAGTTACTCTGCTGCTTCAAGTTACTCATGCTCAGTTAACGTATATCCTGAAAACCAAGAACGCTGAAAATCAAGCAACAGAACATTCCTTCTTGTATAGCAACAAGAATTCTTCAGCTCACTACTTAGGCTGGGAATAAGTTTGGTTTTGCCCTGTTGTTTGTGTTGGAAGGTTCCAACACAAAAAGGGACATTGTGTAATTTGTGTGATAAAAGCAAACAATGTAAATAAATATCAGAATTGCACAAACGATTTCTGAGAATTATTATTAGTAAGGCAGGTGTTCTGCAATTTATTTGAGAGAGATGAAACCAAGTGAAAACCTACAGAAAAGAAAGGACTTGGACCACAACACATTCTTATAAACTTAGTATATGTTAAAACATAGATATGAACCATCTAGCTCAGCTAGAATACCCACGAGAGCTCGTATGCAACATCCTGCTAGGTGAGACCAATGAACCATCCCGACAAACAGACAAGTATTCAGTCTTCAACAGTGACACTAGAAAGGGCACGGTAGAGTGGTTGCTCTCAGTGATCTGTCTCTGTATTACCTTATCATTCACAGACATTGGATGACACACATTAGGAGACTCACTCTCACCTGCTTCCAATACCTGCTTAAAGGCCTTTGCTAAGAATGCCTGATGCTTTTTCTGAACCTGCTGATACTATCTACTTCCACAAATTCCTGTGGCAGACAGTTCCAAAAGTAAACTGCAGAAGCATTTCCTTTTGTGGGTTTTAAAGGGATCTATGGGAAGTTTCACCAATTGCCCTGTTAGTTCTAGCTCTGTGGAACACGGTGAACAGCAGTTCTGCATTCCCCCATGATCTTTCTAAGGCTCCATCTCATTTACCTTCAGCCTTCTCCTCCCGAAACCGAAGCATTTCAGCTTCTTTTATCTCTTGCAAACTCGGTCACAGTAGAGACAGACTATAAGAAGGAACAATTATAAGATCCAGAGAAAACTGTATTCTGTGGGGAAAAGGAAAGAAAAAAAAAAAAAAAAAAAAAAAAAAAAAAGAATGAATGTTAATGGATGGCTTTCCAAACTCCTGGAGGTCATGGTTTGTGTTTGATGAAGAGGCTTTGTCCTTTCTCTGGCTGAGCCTGGCTTCCTCTGTAGCCTCTCCTAACGATGATCCAAGGTGTTTCTGTCTTGTACTGTCAGTGCTTTGTAAATGCTGGGGGCAGATTCATGGCAGAACATTTTCTCCCTCAAACACTTAATTAGTGACTGTTTTGGGTCGTCCTCCCCCCAGATTAAGCAGCTCACTGGAAATCTTGCTGCCATAGCACTTTATTGAGCTGCAAAGAAAATTGTCTCCCGGAATCATTTAGTTGCAGATGGGAGATAGATGGTTTCAGTTTTGATATGGGTGTTTAAAATAATATGTAGAGAAGGCTTTTCAAGAAAAGCATAAAGACAAACTATTTATTAAGATGAACACCTCACAGAATTTCATTTTTAAGAGTACGGAAAAGGTAATTCTAAGGGAAAAAATGTCCTTAGCAGAGAACATCGTCAGCTGTAATTTAGAGCTACCCGATCAGCACGTGTTCGAGGGAGATAAACTGTATCATCTGTTCTCCCCTCGCCATGGCTGCGAGGCTGATGTTTTATACTTTTGCAGATGAGCCTCTTCCAGGGTGTCATGAACAACTATCAGTCCATCATGTGGGCTGTAGAAAGGGCATAGTCATTGCTGAAAGCATGTCAGTGGATTACAGCAATAAAATTTTTCACTGCTTCAAACAAAAGAAGGATGTGGTTGACAAGGGAATATATTTTAAATTCTTGTAAAGAAAGAATGCAGAAGCTGGTTTTCAACACCCCTGCTGCTTCTGTGTCCGTTCGTTTCCATGAGCAGACTGACGGGGTTGCCGTGGGTGTGTGGGCTGTTACCCCTCGACTTCATAAGGGAAGCAAGGGGAAAAAAATTAAAACGCAAGTTTAATTAAATAGTTTCTAGAGGTAAAATTCTTAGGTTTAGATCATGTACCATAATTGCGCCGCATTGATTTAAAAAAATGTCTATTTTGTGCCATTTGGCTAGGTGTAGACCATAAACTGGGTGCCGCAAACGCTTGGAAACACAATGGAAAAATGTTGGTGATCCATAACTATGTAGTTCAGTAATTGCAGCAGCGATGCTCTCGCGTCAGCTGCCTCTTCCGCTGAACGAGCACTGATTTATCCCATGAAATGAGCCAGTGCGGAGACATGAAGCAGGCCTGCCCCATCCCAAATCCCACATTAGGCATCTTGATGATTTAAGTAATAATTTATTGTCTTTTTATTTAACATTGCAATTAACATGATAAATAAGTGCAACAGTATTGTTTGAAATGTAATATACAATTAAGCCCAATTAATTAATTGGCCTTCAATGATCAGGAGGAGAAGGATGTTCATTGGTTTTTTATGTGAAGAGATAGTTTGTTTTAATGAAAAATGTGTTGTGAAGCAGCTCGTGATGGAGACAACTTCCATTTTTAGGGTGAGTGTGGGGCTGGGTGAGGAGCCAGGGTGTCACGGCTCCTCCTGGTCCCGGTGCTGTTGGGGACAGCCCAGCGCCAGCATCGCAGTCGTCCCCTGGGACTGGGATGGAGGCAGCGGCGAGGGCAGGGTGAGGTGTGCAGGGGGGGCTGCAGGCAGCCAGCACAGCCCCGCAGGAGAAATGCCACGGTGGTAAATCCAGCCTAGTCCTGCCTGGCACAGCCTCTGCTCCAGCAGCGCCCAGGCTCTGTCCAGCCGCCCGTGTCGGCCGCACACGCCTGGCTGCGGCCAGAGCCACCGTGTCCCCGGGCCATGGACACTCTGCTGCTGCCCCTCGCTGCCCTGTCTCACGGGAGAGCGAGGAGTCCTTCAGCTGGGGGGCACAGGGACCCGGGCGGTGACTGCGTTACCCCAGAGGGTGCCGTGGTTTCTCGGGCAGCCCCGGATGCCACGCTCTGCTGTTGCACAGGGCGCACGTTTTAATCTCAGAAATAGTTTAACATTTCTGGGTATTCATTGAGATGTGGTATGCGGGTTAAACATAACGTACGATCGCTGCTCCTCTCATTGCTTCCAATTAAACCTTGCTTGTTAGTTTAACCTCTAGGTAATCCCATCAAACAATTGATGTCAAGGAAACACTGCCCACAGTGGCTCTGGATGAGTGGCCATTAATTTTAATTGCCTTGATATTAAAGATTAAGAAGTATTGGGACTAGCAGAATGGAAACGATCTGATGTCAAGCAAATCCACTCGTTGAGGCTTCCCCAGGCTGCTGGTGATATTAAAATTTTACTGGGAGAATTAAATAAACCTTTATTAGTGATGGCTGTTGTTTGATTGGTCCAGGGGCGTGCATAAACAGAGGGGTCTCGCACACATCCATGGACAATACAGTTGATGTACAGAGATTCCTCAATTATGAAACTGTTAATAAAGCATAATCTGATTGTCCACAATAATTATTTGCTAGGTTTCATTAATGTATTATTGCTTCTGTGACTGACAAGGTAATATTAAGTGCAATATATAGAATACGGTGGAGTATTATCCAGGGAACAGAATGTATAAGGTACCTTTCCTATTGCCGTTAAAAGCTAGAGGCTTTTCATTAATCGTGTTTAAACAAAAGCTGTGCTACATAAAATACAGCAGGATTTGTCTCCTGGCTGCGTCGTGGTGCCTCACCGGGCGCTGTGGTGGAGCATCGGGGTGTGAGCGGGGCTGCAGAGCTGCTGCAGCTTGTGGCCGGGCCCAGCAGTGGGACCCAGCCCCTGCCTCCCCGGGCAGTGACCACTGTTCCTGCTGGTCCCCTCCCCTTCGATGCTGTTTTGTCTCAGCAGCCTTGGCCATGGTCTATGTTGGAGACCGGTTTGTTGTTTAGGAGCTCTGTTACAGCAGCTGAAGGTAAACAAAGCCACTGAGAAAGATTGTGTGAACTTCTCTGAGTGGCTCCAGCGGTGACCTCTGCGTGGGTTAGTAGTCAGTGCCCCGTGAGCCATCTTGGCTTCTCTACGGAATCTTCAAAGGGAGATGACAAAGTGACTTTTCAGCATTATTGATTTATATGATGCCTTTCATTTTCAGCCGACAAAACACGATTCTGTGAATGGGCTGCCAAGGTTGTTCCAGCCCAAAACCAAAGAACAATTGCTGTCACTGCCCGCTTGCCCTCACTCAGCCAGACCTTGGTCCCCCTTGAGTGGTTTTTGGGGTCTTGCACTGATTTTGTTGACAAATGGCTCACAGTAGGAGGAGACAATGCTGTAGTAAATGCTACAGCAAGCTCTAGGGTATGTCGTCATCGAAGAGTCACCCCTCGTGTATCAGTTTTGCCAACAGAGAAGCAGATCCAGATCATGCTCATGTCCATAGTGGTATTTAACTGATCCTCGGTTACTGCTTAGTTATCAGGAGTACCCGGCAGGTACGGGCTGGGGCACATGTGTTTGCTGGGCCAAACGTGACACCTCAAATGATCTTGTGTTGCCAGGTCAAGCACTTTGTGTCCTTCACCCTTCCCACCTCTCTCCACTGCAGGTGTCCAACTGGTTTGGCAATAAGAGAATCAGGTACAAGAAGAACATCGGAAAGTTCCAGGAAGAAGCCAATCTCTACGCGGCGAAGACGGCTGTGACCGCAGCGCACGCCGTGGCCGCGGCTGTCCAGAACAACCAGACAAACTCCCCCACCACACCAAACTCTGGTACGTACCCGCCTCGTGCGTTAAAGCGTCCTGCAGGGCAGCCCATACAGAACCCTGGCTGGCGCCCTAGAGAGCTCAGTGGGGCTGCGAAGGCTGCAGCTCCCCAGCAGCCCCAGTCGCGCCATGGGGAGCGGTACCAAGGCCATGGACCTCCAGGCTGGGCCGCGGCGAGGGCTGAGCACTGCCCTCCGTGGTCCCCGCAGCTCTGGTGGCGAAGCTCCCGCAGCCTCACGAGGGAACAGAGCGGGGCCCACGTAATTCCTGCAGTGGTAACGTCTGCCGGGCTCAGGCTTCTGGCAGCTTCTTTGTTTCTGTAGATATTTTAAGCTTTTTCTCATTCAATGAAAATAACATAAAATGAGGCAGAGCTCCAAGTCTGGTTTTGTAGAACTGCTAAATTTATTGTCAAGATAAGAACAAAATAGAGGAATATTTTAGCACGCACTAATTAGAATTCAAACTCTGGGTTGCTTGAAGTGGAGTTGATATTATATATAGAAATCTAAGGATGCAGCTTTTATTTTGGAGTTGCTCTACCACATGTTCTTCTGCAGTATTTAAAAATCGTCTCGCTAGCAAGTTGTTGACATTTTGCAAATCTAAGCATTAAATTAGTAGAGGAGTTCGTAAAGAGGAAGTCACTTTTGGGGGCTCCAGAGGCGAAGGTTTCCACAAAGCACAGATGTGTTGGACACTATTTACAGTGAAGGTTTTGCTGTGACTTAGTTGTAGACAACTTTTAAAGGCTATAAAGATCCATGGGGAAAAAAAACTTGAATCAAAAGAAAGTAAGAAAAAGGTTCCTCCTCTGACAGCAATAGATCCATTAATTAGAAATGGCCCGCCATTTCCCTTTGAAGGAGACATTATGCCCAGACTCAAAATGAGTTTTTCTCCACGTGTTTGGTGATAGCATCTCATGATGACGTGATCCACCCGAGGAAAGCTCTCGACATGAAAACCCGTTGTTGTACAGGCAGCTCTTCCAGCAGGAGAAGCTGACCTGGGTCGCATGGGGCTCCCCGGCTCCCCAGCGTAGCGCTCCTGGCTGGCAGCCGGCCCGGTGGCAAGCGGCAGCCCCCGCCGGGCCGCGCCGAGCCGGTGGGCAGGGGGCCAGCAGCCCGAGCTCACCCCACACGGGGGCCAGCAGCTTTCCCTCTGCTGTGCGCTGCCTTTCCTCCTCCTCCTCTCCTGTCTGCTTCTCCTTCCCTTGCCCTCAGGTCTCTGGGGTTATGTGTTTGCAGCTCTCTGTTATTCAGCTACCTAACTCTTTCCTTTCCAGGTTCTTCTGGTTCTTTTAACCTCCCAAATTCTGGGGACATGTTCATGAACATGCAGAGTCTGAATGGGGATTCTTACCAGGGGTCCCAAGTCGGAGCCAATGTGCAGTCACAGGTAGGAGAAATGCCCCAAAGTAGGGCCTTTCTAGCAGGGTAGGGTTTGGGCTAAAAATTCCACCTTACTCTGGCTCTATTAAATGGTCTGTGCCTCGCTGCAGAGTGGAGGCTGCATATTTCTGAATGTGACCTATTCTTACCCCAGCATTGAATTTCACAAATATCAAGGAAAGAGTGATTTTTTTCTGATTGAAATTTTAAGCTTTGTGAATGCATTCGGCTCTGGCTTGAGCTCATGGAATGGGATTGGGTGCGTCTGACTTCCATGGACACTGTAAATCCAGTGAATTTTCTTTCTTTTTGCCTTTTCTTTTTTCTTTTTGTTTTTAAACATCTTTCGTTCATTTATTGGACAAACTTTTATTTATTTATTTATTTAAGTGTCAGAACACATCTAACTGAGCTATTAAAGTACAACTCATTCTCAGTCACTTTTGCAGTCCTTTCAGACAGGGCTCTCTCCATTATTTTACATGCAGTGTACACGCCATAATCTCTTCCCATACATGTGAGCACGTGCAGACTGTGTATAAATGTGCACAGCACTTTGCTGCAGACACTTAAGAAGGAGCTACAGGACGCACTGCTGTGAGGAAGTTGTTGTTTGGCTGGTGTGAGAAGCAAAGATGTATGGGTTTTAACATGCAAGGATTTGTTGAAATTCTGCCAGTCATTCTTGATTGATAAATTTGCCTTTCATAGAAGATGCTAAACCCTTTTGGCTC